CCTTCGCCCTCCCGTAAACGAGAGAATGTATTTAGTAATAAGTTAATGCAATTCGTTCGATAAACGATAACGAGGTTCACTCCGTTTGAAACGGGGCCCATTATCTCGACGCACTTTCCCAAATTGAGTATTTGCCGCACGCTCGTTGACAAAGGCGCTTCTTTGATTTGCGCGTTGGTTTCTTTGTGTGACGTGATACGGTGGCAATTATGGTGGCCCGAGTGTGTCAGTTTGTGTGTGTGTGTACAGTTTGGTGTATTTATACTATAGTCACTGACGAAGGGAACTTTCAAATTAGTAATTCTCAAACGTTTACTTTTGTCAACGTTGATGGTGATTATTTATTCGCTGCTTTTGGTTAATATAATGTGATGATTTCTCTGTAATATTTTTTATATTATTCTCTCTCGTGTCCTTTGTAATGTTCTTTCTTCTGTAAGATTACAGTGTAATATAATATACTACAGTTATTTACAGTATAATATAATATAATATAATACATAATACAGTTATTTACAGTATAATATAATATAATATAATACAATGTAGTGTGATATAATATGATATATTCTGTTTATAACTGTATTCATAATTTTTTGATAATATTCTTTACTCAATATTTTCTTATCTACAATATTCTTCCTGTCTACAACAGTAAATATAATTTTTTTTATAATACTCTCCACAATATCCTCTCTTTCGTAAGATTTTTTTATAATATAATATAATGGATTCTATCCACAATGATAAACATAACTTTTTTTTTATAACATTCTTTATATTTTCTGTAATTTTTTTTTTTATTCTAATATTCGAGAATATTCGAATATTCTCTCATGTGTACCATTCTTTACAATATGATTTCTGTAAACACAACAGTAAACATAATTTTCTCTTTATAAAATTTTTCATAATATTTTCCCCTCTATAACATTCTCTATGATATATTATTCATAATGGAATACAAGTCTGTAAACGTAATTGTTTTTGTAACTGTCTTCATAATGTTTTATTTATAATGTTCCTTGTAACATGCTATAATTTCTTCCTTCTTAGTGAAATCTGTACGTCAATAGTATCGAATTAGACAAAGTATGATAAATGATTACGAACAGTATTGATTTGAACTTTTTGAAATATCGAGAATTGCCACACAGATGCAGAATAAATGTATCACCCAATGCATTTGACATGAAGCTACAAATAATGTAGAATAGAATATCTTTAAGAGAAGATGAGAACAGACAATAAAAAATATTAAGAAATAAAGTATATATATACTTTATTATATATATACTTATATTTATTATATATATATATACATTATATTATACATATTATATACTTATATTTATTATATATATATATACATTATATTATATATATATATATATACATATACATATTATATATATATATATATATATATATATATATATATATATACTTTATGTATAGTGCAGGGGTGACTGGGCATGATGTCACCGCTTTTATATCAATTTTTTGACGTCGACATTTATTCTTTGCTCTTCACTTCGCAAAAGTAAAAGTTGTCAAACAAAAAGGAAACGTAAACTTTTCAGACGATTATAAAAGTGAGAACCGAAACAAAAGTAGCTTTTAACCATCCCCCTTTCCAAGTGACGCCACTGACCCACGAGCTAGTACCAAAAAAAATAATGAACAAACTCTGACCTACTTCTCAGAAAGATTCGTCGTCACTGAATAAGCTCTCGCAATTTGGCGGGAAAAACCCGGGACACCCTGTATATATCTACAAATTCGTTTCAAGCTCGAACGACGCAATCGCGACAGTCGTGGTTCGCTGCAGTTTCGACTGAAAATGAAATGCCCGCGTCAATCAAGCGAGCACGCGTAAATATATTCGTAATACACTGTCGACGAAATATCGAAAACATTTTACACGCGATAGATATCCTCTCCAGCATTAACGAAACGTGAAAATGTTTCACGGACGATAGGTTCAACTTTCACGAGCGTCCGACAAAGAAGAAAAAAAAAAAAAAAAAAAAGAAACTTCTCTCTGATGTTACAACAAAGAACGACTTACGATCGCCGATCGAAAGCTACGGTCGTTACAAAGGTGTCGGTCGGGTTTCACCTGTTATAAAGGTGTTCCACGCTGTGTCACACGAGCGAGAGCATCCCCGTTCGAAAGTAACGCAATAACGTTGGAAATGTAAAACATTTTCTCTCTTTGCGCGCGTATACGGCACATTTCACGGGCGAAGAAAAACGATAAACTACCGGCAAAACGGACATTTCTCTCGCGACAATGAGCTTCAGGGCACGCTCGACCGATCTGCGCGCGCGTGTCGATCTCCGCGTGGAAGATCGATGGGTTTACGATCGAGGAAAACGCCAGTCTGCACGGGATATCGAGAAATTTTGGGGTAATCGTCGCTCGGGGTAACCTCGTTCGAGCGGTTTCCGCCGGCGAATGCTTCCGCCTGCCGGCTAATCGAGTCGCAGCCTTGAAATTAGATTCCCCTCCACCCCTCCGCGGATGGATTCGATTCACGAGGCTGAGGCCGGGCCAGTGTTTCGGAAAAATAAGGAACGCCGTGGTCACAGAGGACGTTGGATTTAAACGTCCGGCATCGAGATTCAATTAAACGTTCGACCAAGGTTCGGCCGAGCTTCGAGGGACTTTTCATTTTGCGACGATTAGCTCCCTTTGATACTTTTAGGGCTTTATCTTGATCTTCGAGTTAACCAGTGCTGATATCGTTGTAGACTAATGTACCAATAATGCTTGGGTGGTTTCGGTATTGAAGGTATATGAAAAGTAAATTTCCCTTTCATTCGAGGCTTTCCGAGAGAATCAAGTTTCCGGTATATATTTGGAATTTATTTGTAATTGCGAACTGGTTGGGAATGAATGATGAAAAGGAATAAGAGAAATAAGTTTTCGCAAGAAGTTCCGTTTTCGAGGAATTTCAATTTAAAATCTCGTCGAGTGCTCGAGTCAATTTTTAATTAAATATATTGGAAACCTCTTTCAAAACGAGGTCTTGAACGAAAAAAATTTCAGTTGACATTTTTTCACTTATTCTTCGCAGGTGAAAATGACGCAGAGTAGTCTTAGGACTATATTTGTTTGAAAATCGGGAAAATTAAATATCATCCATGAGTGTGCAAAGTGTCAAGGTAATATCAATTATTTTGCAAAGTACAAACGAAATTTAGAAGTTGTTAAAATTTCATCAGATTGTTATAGTTGCTACAATTTTTTCGGTGTATTCGAGAAACTGTAAAATTCAACCAATGATTTCAATCGGATTGCTAACAATATATTGTAGTAATTGACATGACTGTGAAAAGCTTCGTTTTTTAGATTAAAAAAGAAGTTGTAATATTTTTTTTTTTGTGGAGAATAAAAGGATCCATCGACGAGTGCATAAAAAATTCATAGCTCCATGCAAGAAAGATAGATGACCTTAAAAAAAGATATCACCGTGGGAAATGATATCGAAACTCGTAGAGTTGGAAAAATTTCGCACATACAAGGTGATTTTATGAACGGAATATTGAAACTTGTAAATTAGTATTATCAGTCAATAATCACGCAAAATGGTCTATGTCTGTATCTGTAATTATATTAAAATGAAATTAACATATAAAAAATGAAAGTAAACTAAAGTATAATAATTGAAAAAATTAAGACTTCATTAATGTCAGATTTATTTTGAATTTAAGACTCTATTCTTAAAAATTAAAAATTTATTAAAAAAAGAAGAAAAAAGATAATACATCGAAACGATCAAAGAATTTATATACAATATCAAATTGTTATGTCGCGAGTTTTAAAAGTAAAGTGAAAACGACGAAGACGAAGGACAGATCTCTCTTGAAGATTTCTCTGTATTTTTCTTTCGCGGATCTTTATTATCTTTTATTATCCTTTCTCGGCTTCTTCTTGAAACGGACACTTTATCCAGCAAGGTTAATATCATAGTATTTCAAATTAAGATTTTTCATTTTCAAAATGAATCCGCGTGCTTTGTGCAGAATAATTCCCCTGGCTTTATCTAGATTTAAAAACAGACACTGAAAGAAACTTCTTTGACGATAAAGCCACTATCATTTCTTGCCAAGATTCCATCTAGATTGCATTCCTGTTATTGTCCCTGTTAGCTATTACACGAACGTTCGAATCGTAATTCGTATTAAATTCCAAATTTCCCGATCACGTGGACAAGTTTATAATAAATAACTTTGTCAATGATGCAAATAAATCTTTCTATGGCTTTGATGATTTATTAGACATTTATTATTATTGTTAAAGAATTTTCGACAACCATAGTCAATAATCGTTAATTATTTGTTATCAAGTAATAAAATTTACTGTACTAAATTCCAAATTTCTCGACTGGCAAACAGAAATTTACATCGACCAATTTTTTTTTTTTTTTATCACATCGAAGAATTTTGGCAAATAATGAAACAATTCGAATGAGAAATCTGTCTACGCTCGCCAACGATCATGTATTTATCTAATCATTCATCCACCGATAGTAATTTATTCTAGGAAATTGCAAAGAAAATTTATATCGATCTCGATCTTTTTAACGGATTAAAGAATTTTGCAAATGACGAAACAAATCGAATGAGATAATTATTAATCATTTGTTATTCCATGTGTTATGTAACTATCCCATCATTGATAATAAAATAAATTCACATTGATCTGAACCATGCTAATGCATTGAGAAGCTCGCCAATAATTATCAGAAATCATTTGATGATGTGATAATTCAGTCTATTAAGTTTCGAGCTCGTTCCCTGTATTTGAATCTCTCAAATATCAAAATTTGCACTCGCAGCGAACATAAGCTCGGAACAATAGAACAGAATAAATCGAGTTGGAAATCGTTCTATCGTTTTCTCTCTTCGCCCCTCTCATATTTTCGATACTTTGTCCTCGGAATCTGATAATTGAGTTGAATTACGGTATACGCATGTTGAATTATCCTCACGTAACGTAAAACCCCATGACGTGCTGACGGTAGGCCACATCCGCCCCGACGCCGCACACAACTGAAACAAAAGAGAACGTTCGTTACGTAAGATCAAACCGCACTTCCATCTTATCTTCATCACAATTCAATATTTTCATTAAACTATTTAAATAAATTATTAAACTTAAAAAATAATAAATTTACTGGAAGTAAATGTACGAATTATCATGAAAAATTTATTAATTTACAACTATAAATTTCAAAATTTACAAAATTTCCACCACGTTCAACAAATCTAAATAAATATACTGAATAGATGGAGGAATAATAGACAATAAATTATTAAAATAATAAATAAATATTTAGATCGAACAATTAAACTTATTAATAATAAAATTTGCTCGGTTTATGACACGCTCGCGTAGAAACCGCTTTTTTTCTTTTTTTTTTTTTTGAGAAAAATTATTTTCAGTATTGTCAAATTAATTTTTCACTTGAATTTCCGGTGCTCGAAGGTCGATCGTGTCATAAACCCGAGAATTTCCGGAGGGACGTGGCAAGACACGTAACGACATTTCACGTGTGTACCATATGGAGGAAATCTCCACGGTCTTCCCCCGGAGTTCGAAATATTATTACACCCTTATTGGAAGAGGGGACTTTCGAAAAGCAGTGAGGAGGCATGCTGATTGTAAAACAATTTCATGGGAATCCGATCGACGCGTCTATTTAATCTATTTCGGTGTTTATGTCGGGTATGTTCTTCATGAAAAGATGGCGTGTATACTCGTATGATAAAAAAAAGCTGCATTTGCTGTTGCAATAAACTATAGGTAAGAAATGAAAAAAAAAAAATATTTAACACATTTTATATAGAATACTTCAGGACAAAAAAGAAAAAGAAAAGTTGTTATCGTCGCAGACCCCTAACTCGTATCAAGAATTTATACACTATGCAAAAAACCAACGTCAAATCAAATAGAACGAAGATTCACTGAAATAGTAAATGACTTCTACGAAGAAATTCCTTTTAACGGATTAACCAAAAAAGAAAGAGTTATATCGGTTTTAGAATTAAGGATAGGACGTACCAAAATAACCCATGAACGTCTCTCCTATGCAAAAATCAACTCAACAAACTCTAAACGCACAAATTTTGAATACTAAAGAAAATTTCATAGAATCAATCTCACCACTGAGTTTCCAAAATCATCATGAAGAGAATGATACTCCGATACTCGATGGACAATACATAAATCTATACTACAAAATCCAAGTATCTAGTCGCTAATGATCTTGATGTCGATGCGACTTTAACCTCTTGCACTGGAACAACGTGCCACGTACGTAATTTTTTGTCCCAAAATTGCAACATTTTCTCAGTTTTAAGTATATTTAAATGTAACCCAGGCGAAACAAATGATATAGTATATGACTCATTGATAATTTCTATGCAGTAACATCATACCGACGAGTTCAAAAGAAAAAGAAAGCGACGAATTGTCGTATACGGTTCGGTCACTCGTTATGGTCCGCAATCAGTTAACAATTTGCCAGCGCAAGTGGTTAACAATTTTTGCGGCAATCGTCACGCGTATATATTTGACTTTCGGTTTCAACAGAAATATTAATGTAAATAAAAGTCTCTGCTAACAACATGTCAAAATATTCTATATACAAATCATTATAATTCAAATGATAATCAAAATAAATGGATTTGCACGATTATCTGCTTCTGTCCAAACAGAAATTAATATTAACTTTGACAAGTATATCCATATCTTTTTAAACACTTGTAAAAACGTCTGGTCACTCGTTATGGTCCGCGAACCAGTTACCAGCGTAATTGGTTAACAATTTTTGCGGCGATCGTCACGCGTATATATTTGACTTTCGGTTTCAACAGAAATATTAATGTAAATAAAAGTCTCTGCTAACAACATGTCAAAATATTCTATATACAAATCATTATAATTCAAATGATAATCAAAATAAATGGATTTGCACGATTATCTGCTTCTGTCCAAACAGAAATTAATATTAACTTTGACAAGTATATCCATATCTTTTTAAACACTTGTAAAAACGTCTGGTCACTCGTTATGGTCCGCGAACCAGTTACCAGCGTAATTGGTTAACAATTTTTGCGGCGATCGTCACGCGTATATATTTGACTTTGGTTTCAACAGAAATATTAATGTAAATAAAAGTCTCTGCTAACAACATGTCAAAATATTCTATATACAAATCATTATAATTCAAATGATAATCAAAATAAATGGATTTGCACGATTATCTGCTTCTGTCCAAACAGAAATTAATATTAACTTTGACAAGTATATCCATATCTTTTTAAACACTTGTAAAAACGTCTGGTCACACGTTATGGTCCGCGAACCAGTTGCCAGCGCATGAAGTTAACAATTTTTGCGGCGATCGTCACGCGTATATATTTGACTTTGGTTTCAACAGAAATATTAATGTAAATAAAAGTCTCTGCTAACAACATGTCAAAATATTCTATATACAAATCATTATAATTCAAATGATAATCAAAATAAATGGATTTGCACGATTATCTGCTTCTGTCCAAACAGAAATTAATATTAACTTTGACAAGTATATTCATATCTTTTTAAACACTTGTAAAAACGTCTGGTAACTCGTTATGGTCCGCGAACCAGTTGCCAGCGCAAGGGGCCAAACCTTGGCACAATTTTGAGACGGTAGTTACCGTGAAATAACGCAGTTTTGTAACAAACATTTGCAAACAGAATATAATCTCCTGAGAAGAGCAACTAGAAAATTCGTTTCGCCAGAATTTCGTTTCAATTTTACACTTGCTCACATTTCGTCGAGTGCTTGCGCCGGTCGCGAGAAAATTGAGAACAATCAAGCGCGCAGGTGCGCGTTCTCCAAATGAAATAAAACTTAAGCTTAAAGGATTAAGAAACGGACGCTCGCCGACGTGCACTCTTCAGATTTCGCTTCGTACGTCGCCGTGGCCTTTGTTTATTCGTGCAGTTAGAGAGACTCGAGTTGCTCGTCGTTAACAGACGCCAGTTATTCGTGGAAAGAGGCATTAGTTGCTCATCGAGAGAGACACGCTAGTTATACGTCGAGGCATTTGTTAGTCGAACGTTTCGTCTACTTGTGTATTATACGTCTGCTCGCGTATATTCGCTGAACTACGTCGAGAGAGAGAGAGTCGTTAGTCGTTTCGAAGATCAGTTCGGAACGATCAGTTCGGAGGAACGCCGTTTCATAGCGAAACTCGATGTCCAAGATTAATTTGGCGGGCTGCTCCGTGAATAAGCGAACAGTTCGCGCCGCTACGAACGAGAAACTGGTGGTTGGAGAATAAGCACTGTCTCAGCAATGAATTATTGTTTTAATTGGACGTTCGATGATTCATGCATCGAACGAGCGTGTGTGTGTGTGTGCATGTTTATTTCTTTCCCTCCAAGCTTGTTTCTTTTTTTTTTCGACTGTACGAGGCAAAACAGGACGCGATTTATGGAAATGTAAACGCCGGGGACGAGATAATAAAGCAACCCTGAGCGGCGGAAAAGATTTATCTCCCTTGCAAAATTAATTCCAGATTTACAAAAAAAAAAAAAAACAATACGGACAGTTCGACAATCGGCCAGAATTTTTGTAAAACAGGCCAACGCCTAACAGTCGATATTGTACAGATACAATGTAGATAATGTTTATTTGATAGGAGCAATGATAATAGAACAACAAATAATTAAACAAGACAAATAACATTCAATCAACACGAATTAACTCTTTTGACAACACAATTGACACTTTCAACAGCTCTTTCTGAATGCTCTCTCACGACTCGGTTTTTCAACTCGCTCGGCTCTGGTCTTTTTTTAAAAAAAAGAGCGCTTCACGTTCATCATATTTTATCATATTTCTGTGACCAACAAACAGACTATATTTAAACATAACTACAGATTAATTATAATAACCGATACTACAATATCTTGGCTCTTTCTAACCTCTTGCGCTGGCAACTGGTTCGCGGACCATAACGAGCGACCGATATAACCGTATACAATAATTCGTCGCTCTCTTTCCCTTTTGAACTCATGTCGGTATGATATCACCGGATAGAAATGATCAAGAAGTACTAAACTTATCATTTGTCTTGCCTCGATTAAATACTTAAACGTTTAAATATACTTAAAACTGAGAAAATGTTGCAATTTGGGACGAAAAAGTTCTCGACGTACGTGACAATCGTCTCTCTGCATCTCGAATGACGACAGCTGATCGATCGGAGCCCGCTCTCCGAAATTCCGGGGATATTTAAATATTTAGAATTCGAAGTTTTGGATAATTGAGAGAAATCCAGTGTTAAATATTTAGATTGCCGGATAGTTGAGAAACTCGGTGAACAAGTGGGCTCCGTTGGTTTATTTACGATTCGGTTTTCATCGTGATTAAAACATCGTGATTGACGTTAATATTAAAACGCCTGTCTTTTTTTCTTTTTTTTACGACTTTCATGAACTCGTCGTTCTTGTTAAGTTAAATTGAACTCGAATCGGAACCTAAGCGGAACAAATTCCAAGACTTGGGAAAAGTTTTGAAGAGAGAAAGAATCTTCTTCACACGTTCTTTACAACAGCGTTAGTTTTTAACAGTTTTTTTTTTTTAATTTTGTCGCGGAAAGAGAGCAATTTTAACAAAAATACCACAGATTATACTCGAGTCGTTGAGTTTTCTGATGAAAGGATTAGAAAATTATTAAATATTTGTAAACGTTCGTTGGGCAACAGTTCGAAAAAATTTTTATAACTTACCTCTCGTCTGTTTCATTGTGAATTTATTACTTAAAGGCATTGTTTACGCTGTCCGAAGAATTAGAGCCACATTACGTACAGCTTTGCGCCATGCATTCTAAGTGCAGAAAAGTAGCTTTTGGTATGCAAATTCGAAGCAAATAATGGGACGATAAAGGGAAATGCGCGGCGAGCATGTATGAGCCAAAATGCAGAGAAACATTCGAGAAGTTCCGACAACCATAAATGTATGTAGTGTATCACATATACATTAGCAAAAGAC